TGTTTCAGATGAGTGCACTGTGGTCTGGCTCCTAACCTGAATCTCCCTTATTGCTTCAGCCTAGACCCAGGAACCCTCATGTCTGAGATGCAGGACGTTAACAAGCAGATGGGAGCTTTAACTTGGGTCCATTGTCTTGAAGTACAACACAGAAAGTGGGGGGGGGGGTCAAAGTTAGGAGATATGGCAGTATTGTGGGTTAATAGTCATACTCATCTATGTAGAAAGAAAACCTTCCTATAATTAATAACTGAGTTTGGAAAATTCTAATGACTCCAGGCCAATATTCAGAAATTATATTTCTATAATAACTAGTTACAAATAATTGAAATGAGCATAAAACAAAAGTTTTAGTTATATCAATTTCATTAATTCTGCTTAATTTAAGTAAAAAAACTTGTGTACGTTAGACAAAATAAGAAGTTTTTTTCATCAGTTGATTATAAAAGGAACAGTTGTCTTTTGTGCACATAAACATCCCCTTGCTTTTCTCTTTTTCTGGATAATCTGAGGATTGTACTTTTTAAGTAATAGCTTGCTAATCCCTTTTAAAAGGCTCTTAATGTAATCATCCCAGTTTCATTAACTATAAATTCCAGCTTTGTTTTTAAAACCCCATTTCAAAATCCATATCTGGCACCTTCTGGTCAGCACACTTTCGCCTGGTGAAGCAGCAGGCCCACTGTGACGCCTAAGTGGCGTGGTGTAGACATGAGTAAGACTTTAATCATGTATCATCTTATTGACGACACTCATTCCAGGCAGGAAGAAATGACTCAGTTCCTGCAAAAGGCATATCATACGAGTTTCATTCGTTGTAAAGGAAAAATGCTGTGTGTTAGCATATTCAACAATGGAAGGATTCTGAAACTGTGACCTGTCTCTGAAAAGGCATGCTGGTGAAAGTTGTCAGTGGAAAGAAGCGTCCATGTGAGGTGCAGGCTGATGAGAATAGTCTTCCCAGGCCTGTTCAGTTCTGCTTGTGTTGCTTGCCATGCATGAATGGAAGTGCTACACTCTCGGGGGAGCAGGAGAGCCTCCCGAGCCGGTTGTTTATCTCCTTAATCCCTCCTCCTTTGTGATTTCTTATGTCAGATCTGAAATGGAAAGCCTGTAAATATAATGATTATCACATGGATAATCACCTGCATTAGGAACCGCCCTGCTTCTCTGTTCTAACCCTAGCTGTTCTCCACATGTCACAGCCACTCTGTGGTTGGATTTTAACCTGACTGCTTCATTAGATTTGTGAGACTCCGTTCGAGGCGCCCTGGGGCAGCACAGATGGGGACTTGCTTGTTTTCTTTTCTCACTTTTCCTGCAATGGCACTAGCAAGTCCTTTCCAATTTAGTGGGATCAGTTCACTTGGAATTACTCCTGATATTTGGGGCCCGCCTCACTTGTCTGCCCACCATCTATGCTCATTCTTTCTCCCCTGTTTTCTGACTCGCTGCCTTTTCTTTCTGCTCTTTCATGCAGTGAATCTGAGAGCAAAAATTCTACTTAAAATTCTTGCTGGGTCAAACTGTTCCCCTCTGTTGTTGTGTTTGTTTTGCTAAGGGGGAAAAATAAATCCTGTTCCATCATGGTATCCACAAACACCTTCAGATCAGAGGTTAGTGGTGACAGAGTCCACAGTGACATGAGACAGCTGCCTTCTCTAATGGTGTGACTTCGGGCACCAGTCCAAGATCAAAGGAAGGTGAGAGGAAGCCAGACGAGAAGATCATTTTAAGGAATAGAACAAGGACTTGGCTGTTCTGGTGATAGGGCACAGCTCAGCAAACCTGTGTGAAGAGGCACTAAGATAGAAAATTGAGTTGGCTTTTCCTAAGTATGTCCTTCCTCAGCCAGAAATGTGTTGGTGCTTGAAACTGTTTACATATGTGAAAATGTCCTCAGGCATGCCTTCCTTTAAAAATAATGATTTGAAGCTAAGCATGGTGGCACAGGCCTAAAGTCCTAACATTTGAGAGATGGAAGCAGGAAGAGAGACAGTTCAAAGCCAGCTTTGACTACATACTTAGGTTACATAGGAAGCCCCTGTCTAAAAGGAAAAAATATGCATATATACCAAGATACAGTTAATTTATTAATACCTGTGAAAAACGGGCATTATGAAGCAATATAGCCAGGCCTGGTGACACACATCTGTAATCTCAGCACTCAGAGACAAGAGGATTAGAGAGTTCAAGTCCAGCCTGAGGTACCTAAGAGCCTATTCCATACAAATAATATAACGGGTTTGGGATTTAACTTGGTGATGTGGCACTTACCTAGCAACCTGAGGCCCGGAGTTCAAATGCCAGCACTGTCTTTCCCATGGTTTAGCTGCATATGGACTTTCAGCCTTTCTGTCATATGCAGTTTTAACCCTTCACATTCCTTCGAATGACCCTGAAGCTCCCTCATCCCACCCTCTGTCCTGGAACCCACTGCTGCCCAGGCTGAGCTTGAAAAGTAGTCCGTAGGGGCTGAGGAGAGGGCTCACTGGTTAAGAATACGTGTTGTTCTCATAAAGGATTCAGGTATGCTTCCCAGGACCCACACACAGTAGCTCACAGCCGTTGGTAACTCCAGTTCCAGGGCATCTGATGTCCTCTTCTGACCTCTGCAGGCATCAGCAATGCACATGGTACAAATACTTACATGCAGGCCGAACACTCATATACATAAAACAAATAAGACTAAAATAGTAAGTATAGCAGTAGTTCTCAGCAGAGCTATTCAGTTGCATTATTCATCTAAAAACTCATGTAGTTAATTATGACAGCTTAGAAAACACTAGATTAATGTCTTTCCAACCTTATCCTTTGCCTTGATATCTCAGCCAACAAATGTTATTAACTGTGTCAAGGTTCTATTGTTTGTAAATTGAAAAGAGGGTAGCCCAGGGTTTGTATGTGTTGTGCCTGTCGTCATCGTCGTCATCGCTGTCAGCTGCGGCTCACTGGTCATCCTGATGTTTCTCTAGGAATGAACTGAGTTGTGTACTCAGCTTAAGAGTCCCTGCTAACCCGACTCTTCCACCTTAATCATGCGTTCTGACCTTTCCACGCCCGCAAAATTATGGGTTTTCTAAATCTCTGTTTTTAGCATAGTGGATCGTAAGTGCATGCATGTACTTCCTCGTTAGTATTTCCCTCAACATGGAGGAGCTCTCCACTTTTATTTTAAAGGCACTGACTGTACTTTCTGCCTTACATGGTTTGGTGCAGCCGTCGTTCGGGTTGAGTTGGATCTGCTCACTACTTGGGCTCAAATCCCATCCTTCTATTAATATCTCTTGGCAAAGATAATTTTGGAGGAATGTAAGTTAAGATGTAGAGACTCTTGACAGTTGTCTGCAATTTTTTTTCACTTTCAAGAGGGAAGTAGAAATGAAAAGTAACATTGCCTCCATTTTCTATCATTCCTAAAATTAAAATGTATGCACAAGCTAAACAGGAAAAGATTTGGTTACATTGATGTGGGTCGGTTTTTGGGTTTCAGGGGTTTGCTCTGTTTTGTCTTTCAGTAGCCTGTTAGAAAAGCATTAGACTATATCGTTTATGTTCATTAAATTGTGCCCATAAAATATTTAAAAGAATTTTGTGTATTAAAATTTTTAAACATTTTTAAGAGTTAACTTTTGTAGCCTCTTCTTAGACAAAAGCCAGGTGTAGTGGCCCGAACCTTTAATCCCAGCACTTGGGAAGCAGAAGCAGGTGGAGCTGTATGAATTTGTAGCTAGTCTTACATGCCTAACAGTTCCTGGCCAGCTGGTGCTATGTAGCAAGAACTTGTCTTAAAACAGGGGCTGGGGGTTATATAGAGTGGAAGTATTGCGCCCACATACCACATACATCTAGATTGCACAGTTGTCAGTATTTTGTCAAATTGGCTTCCCTTTGTTTCCCCCCCCCCCAAAAGTATTCCAAGTTACAAATTTTGTGACATTTTATCCCTAAATACTTTGGGGTCCAGCACTAGAAGTTAAAGACATTTTCCTTATCACACTGATCATTCCTAATTTCAAGCTAGTGATTCCTCCTGTTTTCTAATTCTCAATTTAATTTTGTTAAAGTGTCTTTCACAGCTGGTCTGTTTAAAATAGGACCCAGTTAAGGTCCATGTATTGGATCTGTTCATTTCCCTCCCCAGTTTATCTGAGGTTAACTTTAGTTAAAGAGACAAAACTTGTTGCCCTATAAATGTCCCATCTTACAGATTTGTTCATTGTCCTAATCACTGTCTCCTTTAATTTGTTCCTCTCTTTTTCTTGTGAGTACATATTACTGAACTAAAGTTTTGATTAATTGGTGTTAAGAATGCTAGGGCAGAATACTTCCTGGTTGACACCGTGAACTCCATTCTGTATCAAAACAAAATGCACAGAATGTTTGGCGATCCCACTACAGGTGATGTTAACGGAAGGATTGATCACAGGGTTAAAGTGATGACACCTTGTTCCCTTCCATCATAGAGTTACCCTTTGCTCCCTGTGACCAACAAGTAATCTGTACTGCTTTGAGTCTGTGTGAAGAACCAGTCCCCTGTCATCCTTCCATCTGATGACTTTAACGACCACTTGTGATCCGTCTCTATAAATTATTTTTTTTCAGTATCTGTACCTCTAGGAGCAGGCATTCTTGTCTCCAGAAGAGCTTTCTGAGAGGTACTGTTTTAATTAAAAATATAACCACCAGCATGGTCCTTGGGTATCAAATGATTGTCTCTCTTTGCTGAGGTCAGAACACCTGAACTCACTGTGGCAGCTACTGTAAAAACACACACTACATCTTCTGTATTCCGACTTGTGAAGTGTGTTGACATCATGTGGCCCATTGTTTTTCATGCCAAGACAAAAAGGAAATATTTTTAGAGCAAAAACAAAAATTAATCTATGTAAGTATATTGAGATAGTTGTGTAAAAAGAAGACTGGATGAGTATCACAATGAATTATTTCTTCATTATCTAGCACTTTATAATTAACTGTTCTTTATTTTTTTTTTCCAGGAAGCTGCCACTTTTGCTAGAGAGCAAGGCTTTGAGGTGAGTTAACCCACAATTGCACACTAAACAGATCCTAAAGGTTTTTTCTAGCTGATAATGAAGTTCTTTTGGACAGTGATTGATGTGCTATTATACTCTCAGAGCCTCGCTGCAGTTGCCATGGAAACTTGGCAGTCGTCATGGTTTCTTTGTTCTGCCAGCACAGTGTTATGACGCACTCTGCTAGGTCTGCACCCAACATCGCCTACAGATGTTATTTATTGAATTTTGAAAAGCCTCTTGGGAAGCCGAGAGGTTGGGCACAGTTTCAAGCTGCCTCTGCAGATATGGGGCCTGTCAGTTTGCTCGGTTAAAAAGATACCTCATTAGCTGCATTACATTTCATAAGAATTCAGTGCTGAAGCAGTGGTGGGGTGAGACAGAGTAGTGAGCTATAATGTCACTTAAGTAAGTTCAACCCTATCACATGCAGATTATCATTATGCAAATTAATTTCCAAAGGTTGTACTTAACAGTTGTTAGGGACTGATTAATTTAATCCTGCTTATGAACTTCCTGTTTGAAACTTGTCTCCCTCTCATCTTTTTAAAAATAGCGTAGACTATGTTTTATTTTTCTGAAAAAAAATATTGATAATTGGCCTTAATTTTCTGGTCTTGATTCTGTTTTCCTAATAGAAGGGTGATCTTGTCAAGATTCAAAACTCCGTGTGGTTATTGTTGGCAAAATCAAGCTACAGTCAAGACCATGTTTTTGTCTGCGTAATATCTATCTTCTAATTGACTGTTAGAAAACACTAACTTCAGTACGAACCCAGGTTAATTGACAGATAATTAACTTGAGCTTATGAGTCTTTTATGGCTGATATTGAGCCAGAACTATGTTAGATGTTCTGTTTTATACATCAACTTGCAATATGATATAACTACAGTAACTTTAAAATTATATTTATTTATTTAGGAGGAGGGCACATGCTTGCCACAGTGTATGTGTGGAACTCTGAGGAGAACTTGCTGGAGTCAGTTCTGTTCTTCCACCCTGTTGGACTGGGGATTGAACTCTGGTCATCCAGTTTGGCAGCAAGCACCTTTACCAACCGAGCCATCTCACCCATGTAACTTTAGAAATTTAATGTGACTGGAGCTAAGATTCAGGACCTCTGCCCTGATTTGCATACTCAGTATTGTCTATCACGTACAGAAGCTGTGAGCATTGATTGAACAGTACCAGTAAGCTTTAAGCCCCTTACAGAAAGTTGAATTTGTGATACAACTTATTTAAATTACTAAAAGCAGATCCATCATTAAGGAACAAAATAATACACATGCATAGTATCTGTGTCAGAGAACGTATAGAACCAGAAACACCTCCTCTTCTTCGAGAAAGAAAATGAGCATGTCTCTAAGAATTCTCTCAAGATCATTTGAAAGCATAAGGAAATTACATAATAGTTGACTTCTTAGAAGTTTGCTTTTGTTATTTTATGTTGGGCTAGAGAGAGAGCACTCATGTACACATATACACACTTAAAACAACTGTTTTATTGTGAGTGTGTGTGTGTGTGTGTGTGTGTGTGTGTGTGTGTGTGTTTTCAGTCATTTTTAAAGTTTGAGTGACAAGCATGGCTAGGTGCACTCCTTTAATCCCTATACTCTAGAGTCAGAGGCAAGCCGGTCTCTGTGAGTTCAAAGCCAGCCAGGGCTGCATAGTGATACCCTATCTCAAATTACAAATAAAGTTTTACCTATGCTAAGTTTTTATACTAAAAGCTAATATTCTCAAATATTACAAATCAAATGCTTCATAGATAAGAGGTTTTAGAATATAAATTTGTCCCTGTCATTTAGTTGTGTTATCATTAAACAAAACTACTTGGGTTCTATGATTAGTTTCACAGAAACTTAGACATTTAACATGCATATAGCAAACTATCTCAGTTCTGTAGTGCGTATGTGATGATTTATTTGGTTCAGTAAAGCCTGATACAGATTTTGTTCTTTCCTTGAGCTCTTTGCTCTGCGGCTACCTGGTTTATATTCAATCTTAGCAACAAACTGCTTTCTTTATTTCCTGCTAACCAGCACTGTATTAACCTTTCATTAGTTCCTAGTTACTGATTTAGAAATTGTTTCCCTTTGTCATATGTCTGCCATAATGGATTAGAGCATATAAGCAAAGTGATGATTATCATAATCACATCCCCTATTACCTCCTGACATACCAAAACAGCTCTGCCAGTGATGTTGACAGTGGTGTGTTAGAGTTGATAAACCGCATAGTGTCTGGTGCCTGCATGGATTCCCAAAAATCATTAGAGGCATTGCAGAATACATAGAAGCCATATATAGACTAGCCTTAAGTCAGCATTGTTAACAAAACTACAATCCAGGTGGGGAATGCCATCTGAGAAATCCCATGATTTTATAATGTCATTAAAGTTCTCTTAATTCATTAGAGAAAAATAGGAAAGCATGGGTGTAGAGTGTAGTACTCTTGAATAAAACAAGTGTAAATCACTTTATCTTTAACAGTTTTCTGTCTATGGAAGTGTTCTGATGTTCTCAAGTCTAGTGTAAGAAACTAGACAAAAATCTGTATGTTGTCACTCCCAACTTTAATATTGGCTCTGAATTTGGAGCCAAGCTATAAAAAAAAAAAAAAAAAAAAAAAAAGAGGTAGAATAACTGAAAGAAGGGGATGGTAAGCATCTTTCCTTCCTACCAGCCCCCCTCCCTGCCCTCCCTTATTTTCTGTTATTAATCCCAATCCTTTCTCAAAACCACTGAGTGTTGCCATCAGTGATCTGACTGCTGACAGGCCAGCCCGACGCCTCTAAAAATAACCTGTGTTTATTCATCAGGAAAGACCCTCAGCAGCATTGTTTATGGCGCCCTAGTGGGTTTCTCTGCAAATTCTAGATAATCTTTATTTTTTCAAAAACATCTTTAATCTTTAAAATGAATGGGCATTTTTTTTTTTAGTGAGAAGCAGCAGCTTAGGAGGGCACTGGAGAAGGAGATAAAAGCTGGAGCTAGGCAGAGCACAAGGTAGGCTCTTTCTATATAGGTGATAGAAAATTGCATAGTGCCCGATTTAAATGACAGTCCTGCTAAGAATTTAAAATGACAATTCTTGGTAAAGAGTTCTGTGAAGCCTTTTATTATTCTGGAAAAACAGCTCATAGTGCAATGTGTTGTTAAATCTTCCTTATCTTGAGTTGAACTTAGTTAAAGGTTTGCATTTTTAGAACCTAAATAAAAACAAGGTACTTAAAAGCATGCTTCATTATGGAGCCTTTTAAAAACTGTCATAAATTGATGTAAATTAAATAGAATGAAGAAAATACCTCCAAAACCTAGATTTAGTTATTCTCTGTATTTCTGTTGTCTCTGCAGACCGAATATGTGCCAAATTCTGAAAGGAATTCAAATCTATTGAGTCATTTATTCAACATTACTTCAAGAAAAAATGTTCCTTTTCTTGTTGCTGTCTAAGGTATAATACTCTGTCCATTGAAGGACAAGGTGATCTCACTCCCTTTCCTTCTTCCCTCAGCCCCTTACAACCCAGAACATCTTAGAATTCCAGCCTCTCTGACCAGTGAGGACTCAATCATCTTATAACACTCAACGACCAAAGTATAGAATTGTGTGATCCAATAGCCATACTTGGCTGCTCAAATTAAGATTGTTTAATATTAAATAAAATTTATTTTAAATTTTAATTTAAATAAATTTAGGTAGTACCAACTACCCTGAATGTTGAGGCAGGAGGATTGCTTGAGCCCGTAGGTTTGAGACTAGTCTATACAGCACAGTGAAATTCTGTCTCAAACAATAAAATGCAGCCTCTGTTGTCCTACACACATTTCTAGATTTCTATAGCCTGTATGAATGATTGACTGCTTTATTAGATGGTGCAGATACTGAACATATACAGTATCTCAAAAAGTTTCATTAATCAGCACTGAGGAGAAATCTACAAAACATGTTCAGGAAGTAATGGTTCCCAAAGAAATCTCTAAGATGATTCTTAGGTTCCTGTGTTCTTTACAAATTTTAGGATGGCAGTGAACCGTCACAGTTTCTGAAAATAAGTTGTAAGTCAGGTCCTGCTAGCTAGGAGAATATGCCCATGCTTTCTGAGGGGTCTGGGCCCCAAAGAGGACAATTTTAGTAGTAGTTTTACCATGTAGTTTTCTAGTGGTGTTCATTCAGTGTTTCATTAAAAGTATTTACTGAGCACTTTTGATATTCGTGATGCCACCTACAGACCAAAAAAGAAAAAAAGGAAAGGAAAAGAAATGACCCAACGAGTCCAGAGTTCAATTCCTCAGAACCCAGGAAAAGGTGGAAGGAAAGAACCAGTTCTTCGGGACTGTCCTCTGAGCCCAATGCGTGTACCGTACCAGACATGCCCCTCCCAATAGTAATAAAAATTTTAAGGAAGGAAAAGAAAGCTAAACTCTGACAAACAGAGCTGTCTACCAATGATGGGGGGGTAGGTAGTTAATCAGTCAAACAAGGAGACACATCTCAAACAGAGGAAGCAAGTACAAAGGCCGCCCAACAGAAAGAACACGGTGGACTGTGCATCCCACAAGACACTGTCTCTGGGCTGGGTTGAGTGAGGAGGGTATCCTGAGACCTGACTGCAGATTGAACGCCATAATCTTACAGAGATTCTGTTTAGAAGAAAAAACAGAAAACAGGTTAGTTAAGTGAGCTGTGTGTGGGAATGCCACAGCCGGGAGAGATTGGGACAAGGTGTTCGAACATCTGTGTCACCTGCTCGGGAAAAGCGGAGTGAAGAAAATGTGTTCTTGACAAGGAGAAATTGTTCACCCGTTTATTGGGTGGCACATACTGCAGTGCAGGTGTGACGTTCGGAGGACGACTTGGGGAAATTGTTCTCTCCTTCCACCACTTCGGCCCCAGGTATCAAACCTAGGTCATCTGACTTGGCAGCAAGCGTCTTTACCCACCAAACCATTTTGCTGGTCCAAGAAAAGAGAGTCTTGAATTTGGAAGATAATACTA